ATACATGACCGTGTAGTGATCATATTTCCATGATACAAAGTTGGCAGCATTGTATTGAAGGGTTTTTTCTTTTTTAATTTCCAATTTATTTTGCTAACTGCATTCATAGCATACGTATTAAATAGTGAAATGTCAGTCAAATGCATTGTCAAAGTTAACCTCTCCCTTCAACAAAAAAGGGAAAGCAAACTATGCTACAGAACACTTAACATTTGATGTGCATTAGAATCACCCATAAAACTTTGTTTTTAAAAATAAAAATGTATGTATATTTTTTTCCCACATATGATTCTCATTTGCACCAAAAGTTGAGAGATACTGTTATAGAAAGTTTATAATGTAAGTGAGGTTTTGCCAATTATTACAGAGTTTTCTTATTTTCACATGTATGGTCAAACTAAGAAATACAAGAGAAAAATTCAAAGATGAAATAAATATTAAAATGACATTTAATAGTTTATACTCTACTAAAAACACTTTTATTTGATGGAATAGGTCATTCAGTTGCCTCAGTGCTGTGAAAAGAGGCATAGTTACAATCACGTATGTGTTCGGGAGACATTACAGATGGCACATCTGAAAAGGCTTCACAGGGGAAGATGCTTTAAGCTGGGCTTTGAATGACAGATGAAGATAGTACTAACATTTGTAGAGGATTTTGTAGTTCACAGAGCTCTTTTTCCTTATTTTATTATTTGTTTTTTACAACCGTCTGGTGACATTAATAGGGTAACAGAAATGTGGGGAAATGGGTGGGAGATGAGACTAATAGGAGAGACTAGGCAGGGGGAGTGGCTGTTGGAGATCTAAAGGGACTGGAAAACTACACTAAAAGTTGGAACTTAAGTTCATAAATATCCTGGGACCATTAAAGGATTTCTGGTAAGGAAGTAACCTATTCCTTTTTATGATCTTAAAATTTGTAACTTGAGCAGCTTCTATACATTATAGTTTTATGAGACAAGATAGAGGATGTAGACAGAACTTTGGAGAAAGAAAAGGAATCGTTTTGAGTGAATGGATTTTGAATTTGCTATATCTAGAAAATCTAGGTGGGAAAATCAAATTGTAACAGGTGTTTAGAAATAAGAAATTTGAATTCAGGAAGGATTCCAAGCTATAGATGATGGATTTATAGGGGCAAACTGAAGTCAGTGGAATAGATTTGACTCCCATTCATTCTGTAAACATTTATTCAGAGGTTGCTGTGTGCCAACTTTTATGCTAACCATAGGGAGATACAAAAAATGAGACACCATCCCTTGTAATTTAGGGATGCAAAGTTGGGGAGTGGGAGTAAGGATATATAGAGACAGTTATAAACACAGTATATAAATGCTTTTTAGACATAAGTTATTCTCAGTGGAAAGAAGAGAGAATTTTAACTGTACCTCAGGACAGAGGCCAGAATGAATGGAAAGAAAAACATTCAGAGTAGAACTGATTCTCAAAGAATGAACAAGGGATCAGCAGGAATTTACCGGCTGGATAAAGTGGGAGTAGGATGTACAAAGTTAAGGTCTGCCTGTGGAACTGTAGAATTGTAAGCAGTTCAGGAAGGTTACATAGCATGTAAGGGACTATGAAGACATGAGGCTGGCAAGGTAGTGTTCCTCCCTGTAATCTATAATACACCATATGCAGACAATATGACATATATACATACATGATTTTAAAGACATTATGGTATCTCCTCCTATTCAAACAAGGATTTAGATTATTCCAAACCACTAGAGGCATTATTTATAACTTGAACTAAGATGGATCGACAACAGATTCCCAAGTAAAAGCTGATACAGTTATCTTTGAGTCATTAGTAAAAGTTTAAAAGCTTGAGGGATATAAAGATGACTTCTAGTAGGCTTATTATTCTGACACCTTATTAGGTTTGAAAGATTATAATTGCCTTCTTTGTGTGTGCCACATTTCCCCCTTATTTGGATAAATAACTTAGTAAAACCCTGCCTCTACAAAAAAAAAAAAAAATGGAAAAATTAGCCAGGCATGGTAGTGCCCACCTGTATGCCCAGCTATTCAGGAGGCTGAGGCAAGAGGATCGCTTGAGCCCAGGAATTTGAGGTTACAGTGAGCTATGATGGCACCTCTAGCCTGAGCAATAGGGTGAGACTCTATCTCTAAATAAATAAATGGTATAAATTAAAGTTTCAATAAACAGTTTAAAAAAAAAGAATCTAGTTAGTTCTTAACATAGAAAATTAATAAACCTGTTAAAATACATATAATTTAACCCTTCTGCCAAAGAATATGAGACTGGTACCTAAAATAATAAATGGGGGTTTAGATTTGTAAGAAATCTTAATGACCATAAGTTTATGAAGCATTTTGTATAATGATGAGGGCTTGTCAAACTTGAAAATGGAAGCTAAAATCCTATATATTCCAGATTATTTTCAAGTTAAAAAAAAGAAAGGTATATATTTATAAACAATGCTGTCAAGTGAGGAGAATTGCACATTGGAATACTGTTTATTCATCTTTTGTTTCACAGTTGTATTTTAAAGAGATAGACCAGTTAGCATAATCATTTAAAAAAATATTTAGTAGTAATATTTTTCTTTTTACAGGTTGAAGAAGAAGGCTTGCAAATTTGTGTTGAAATATGTGGTTGTGCCCTACAACTAGACCTTCATGATGATCCCAAAACTAAATGTCTGATTTATAAAACAATTGCACATTTTTTGCCAAATGATTTGGAGATCCTCAGGATTTGTGCACTCTCAATATTTTTTCTTGAGCGCTCCTTAGAAGCTTATCATACTGTTGAAGAGCTTTATAAACGTCCAGATGAAGAATATAATGAAGGCACAAGTAGTGTTCAAAATCGTGTTCGTTTTGAGTTACTTCCAATTTTGAAAAAGGGATTGTTTTTTGATCCTGAATTTTGGAACTTTGTAATGATTAAGAAAAACTGTGTAGCATTACTGAGCGATAAATCAGCAGTTAGATTTCTAAATGAAAGTACACTGGAAAATTCTACAGGTAATCTAAAAAAGACAGTGGAAAAGCAAGGTTTAGATGAAGGGCTTGACTCTCTCACAGATCAGAGCACTGGAGAGACTGATCCTGATGATGTGTCTGGAGTGCAACCCAAAGGTCATATTAATACAAAGAAAAACCTTACAGCTCTTAATACTTCCAAGGTAGATCACAATGTCCCAAGACATCGGTGTATGTTATGTAACAAGGAATTTCTAGGTGGTCACATTGTAAGGCATGCCCAGGCTCATCAGAAAAAAGGCAGTTTTTCATGTGTAATATGTGGTAGAAAATTTAGAAATAAAGGACTTATGCAGAAACATTTAAAGAATCACGTTAAGAAAATACAGAGACAGCAAATTGCTGCAGCTCAACAGGATGATCAAGAAATCACTATTTTGGGAGAAATAAATTGTTCCAATTCTTCCATTTCATTTGAAAATGGAAATTCTGGTAGTAAGGATTTGGAAGTAGGGACTCTTACTGCTTCTAGTGATGGAAACAAAGAAGTCATTCCTGAGCACGTGGCTGAATTCATTGAAATTCCTATAAGTGTACCAGAAGATGTTATTGAAAACATTATTGAAAATGGCAGTCCTGATACTTCTTTAAATAATGTCTTGAAGCCTTTACCAGAATGTGAGGATGATTATGAGGAGGAAGAGGATGAAGAAGGTGATTATGAAGATGATGATTATGACCTGAATCAAGAAACTTCAGTACTTCATAGAATCAATGGAACTGTATGCCATCCAAAAGATATATATGCCACAGATCAAGAAGGAAACTTTAAGTGCCCTGCTCTTGGCTGTGTCAGGATATTTAAAAGAATTGGATTTCTAAATAAACATGCAATGACTGTACATCCAACTGATTTAAATGTGCGACAAACAGTAATGAAGTGGAGCAAAGGAAAATGCAAATTTTGTCAAAGGCAATTTGAAGATTCTCAGCATTTTATAGATCACCTTAATAGACACAGCTATCCAAATGTGTACTTTTGTTTGCATTTTAATTGCAACGAGTCATTTAAGCTGCCATTCCAGCTTGCCCAGCATACAAAAAGTCACAGGATATTTCAAGCTCAGTGTAGTTTTCCAGAATGCCATGAGCTTTTTGAAGATCTTCCTTTGCTATATGAACACGAAGCTCAGCACTATTTGAGTAAAACACCAGAATCATCTGCACAACCAAGTGAAACAATTCTTTGGGATGTTCATTCAGACTCAAATCCTAATCATCAGGAAAAAGACTCATCTAGTAATGAGAAACAAACTGTTAATCTGCCAGTTTCTACTTGCAAATCAAGGAAAGATTCTACAGAACCAAAGACATGTATACAAAGTATAGAAAAGAAAACAGACAGTTTAGTTCAGAATGGGAATGAACATTCTGATGACACTGTTTCAAATATAAGCTTGATAGACCAAAAGATGCCTGACATAGAGCCAAATTCTGAAAATAATTGTAGTAGTAGTGATTTAGTCAATGGACACAGTGAAATAGAGCAAACGCCTTTAGTTTCATCAGATCCTGCTTTGAAAAGTGATACAAGTAGAATCAGGACAGAAAATGGTTCCGTTTTACCCAATGCTGTACCACAAGAACACAATACCTTGCCAGTATCTCAGGCACCTTCCAAACCAAATCTGACAAGTGAACCTACTTCATATGGCTTAATTTTAACAAAACCGTATGTCAGACCATTGCCTCCCAGTTACCTTGATGAACGGTATCTTAGTATGCCAAAACGCAGAAAATTTCTGACTGATATAGTAGATGCCTGTTCTGATCAAGATAACATTTACAAAAAACCAGTGAAAAGATTAAGATGTGGCAAATGCCTGACCACCTACTGTAATGCAGAAGCACTTGAGGCTCACCTTGCACAAAAGAAATGTCAGACACTCTTTGGATTTGAGTCAGATGATGAAAGTAAGTCTTCTATCTTCTCAGTAGATATATCTGTAGAAATAGAAAAATGCCATAAATATAACTATCATAGATCTTTATGAGGTTAAAAAAATTGACATTTATATAGCACAGATAGTAAAGCACTACCCCATAATCCATACAACCATTATGAGGTGATATTAGTATTCCTGTTTTATAGATCAAGTGAAATTCACAAATTAATTTGCATAGGTATAGGCCTATGAATCTGTGCAAGCCAGAACTTGAACGCAGGTTTTCTATATTCTTTGATTATATTCTTTCACTGTATAAAGGCTTTTCTTCATTCTAAGTTTAATGTAATAAAAGTTCTTGAAACAAAGTAACTTTGATAAAAATGTTTTTTCATCTGCATGCGAGAATATAAATCAAATGAAGCTAAGTCTCTGTTACAAAAATAGAAGTAAAAAGAGAACCAGAAAATAATTGAAAAACAAAATGATCAAAAGAAGAGCTTGCCTTGCTGCTAATATCCTTTGAATGGCTGAGGGTATAAATTAAACAGGAATCTGACTTAAGAATTCCACTTGAACATCTATAAAATTTGAATTAACAGATGTGTTCTGTTTTACAGGTGCCTGATAAAAATGTTTCAGAAAGATCTGTCGATCAAGCAGTAGTGTGAAAAAAGCACTATAAGAAAACGCATCATCAGTTTGCTATTTCTCTGATGGCCTTAATTTTAGAGCGGTCTCGGATTACTAAAGACAAAGCACATTTTCTAGAACGAACTCACAGGGGAGATGTGCTGGCTTAGACTCCAAAAGGGTTATTATAAAACTCCCAAAGTACCAGTTTTCCAGAAAACCACATTTTTAAAAGGGTTATGATGATTAATAGCAGCATGTTCAGTTTCGCTTATGTGAGAAATATGTTCAGGCAACTAGTCAGAAAGAAAAACCAGCTATGGCCTTACACAAAGGGAAAAGTGAACACATTAATGAAAAGGGGGAGTGGTTTACAATAATAAACAACGTAAAGTATTTTATTCTACAAGTGGGCTTTGTTTTCTTGTAATGCATAATTAGATTATGTCCTCCCTTCTGGTCAAACATGGTTTAAGAAACCATTGCTCTTTGGTTTGTGATTTGATTTAGAAACTGACTCATGAAAATAAAACTTATCACCATGTTATCTATTAAAGATTGTAACTTGTTTCCAGATAATTAACTATGTCAAAGTTCAGTGAATGAGTGGCATGCCAGCATTGAAAGTGAAAAAAACAAAACAAACAGTGCTTTGCTGATAAGCTCTTGATAGAACCTTCCACCCACAACTTTTATAATATACATCAGTTATATTTAAAAGGCAACAGTGCCAATTAAATAGAAAAAGAACCATCAGTAACTGGGGAGAGATGGTAGGAATCTAAGACATTACATGCTATGTAGTTGAAGAAAAACACTGAATTGGAAATTCTTCAATGTGAATAATGGTAAAAGCACACTGGGACATTTCTGTTTATATATAATACTAGGACATTGCTTGATAATTCCATAGTAAGGTCCTTTAGACATTAATGTGAGTTATCTAAGTATAGTCCCATAAATATAACTGGCTTAAAAAATTTGTCAGCTAAGAATGAGGTTGAAAATTCATTCATTTTATTCAGAGAGGTAATTCCAAAATAAGCCATACTACTGTTTTTTATTCATGAGTGATAAATTTGGTCTGAATAGTAATTTTTACATATAAAAGGAAGTTTTTACACAAAAATTTGCACAGCAAGAACACAATAAGAGATACATTGATGCATTATTTTCCTTGGTGACTGGTAAGAAAGATTTTAAAAACGGACCTATTAATAAACCCATGTCAACCAAATATTCCAGTTATTCCAAATGAGAAGTTTTTGATCAAAGCAGATAATCTCATCAGACCCTATTATCAATATGACAATTTTAGAGCTTCTTGAATGAGGTTACTAGAAGTGGGACATTTCTTCCAGGGCAGCACCTAGATTTTATTTAACTAAAATTTCCAGGTCATGATAGAGCAAATGATCTAAAAAGTACTTCCCAATTGTATTAGTTTACTTATTTTCAGCATTCAGTACTATGCAATGATGGTCATAAGCCCATTCCAAATTTAAGTTTGTTTTTGTTCTGTTATGTAGCCTACATTAGGCTGTGGAACTTATATTTAGATAACAGATAACTGAACACAACTCATAATCAAGTTTTTAAATCCTTTCTTTAAGGTCAACTAAAAAAATTGTTTTCCATTTTTAATGATACTAAAAATGTAATGATTAAGTTTATTTCAGTGCATTCTAAAAGTGTGTCTTATAATAAAAAGTCTGTTTGGAAACTGATTTGGACAATGAAGTTTTTTGGAAATATAATTTCTGCTTTGTACATTTTCTGGAAGTTTAACATAACATTTTATATTTTTAATTTTTATTTTTTACAAGTTGTAACCATTGACATAAATCCATGCCTACAAATTGTTACATTTTCATTAGTTTGAAAAGTGCATGTGAAGATGTTTTTTAAACATATTCCACTTGTTATTTTTTTTTGTCTTCAATTTGAAGTTTATTTCTATTTTTGTGTTGCTAAGAGAAAACTTTCTGAAAGACTGAGATCAAATTGGTTTAGATATAACTAAATCAAGGAATGTTTTATAAAATTCTGTTTGGCCACACCGTTCTAACCTCTTTATTTGTATACTTCTCAAATAATGGTTGTTGAAAGAATGTATACATTATGTCTGTCTTCTAAATCATAAACCTACATCATTTTGCTTTCATAGGGTGCATAAACTTCCAACAGTTCTAATTTGGGATTCAGAAGAAAAGGAAACTTTCTTCTTATTTCTCTGATTTTTCTCCTTTTCTTTTCTTCTCTTCTACTCCTGTTGGAGGATGTGTTTATTTTACGTGGACCAAGTTTCAAATCTTTGTTTTTAAATAAAAATTTCCTTCAAAAAATTAAATATTAACTTTCTGCTATGTATCAGTAAGGTCAAGAAAATAGCAAATCTGAATATTTATTTGCTGCTCAGATACTATGGAGGAAGTAGAAAAGGGGAATTTCCGTGGACAAGGACACTGGTACTTTGGGCTTTAGCCATATTCATTTTTTTAAAACCACCAATTATATAATGCATAGATAATTTATATCATTGAACTTGTGATTCTTTTCAAATCACACTGAAGGTTCAGCCGTACTCCTTTCATGTTTGGTTTAATACTGTTGTATGGATGAAAAACCTAAAAGGGATGATAGTGTTTATTTTTTAATTTATTTGGTACTGTAAAACACCTTTTCAGAATGAATAAATGCTGCATATGCATTTTGGAATTGTTAATATGTGAAAGATATTACAGATTCAGCAAGAAAGAAAATTTGTGCTTCCTTGTTGAACATTAAATTATTTTACTTTGCATTTTATAAGAATACAAATTAAAACTGAGCCATTGAACTGCAATAAATCAACAATAGTGTCTCATTTCAAGAAATTTTTTGTACTGTACATAGATTTGTTCAATAAAACATTGTCCTTGTTGGTAATCAAGTGTTCAATTTGTATATAGTTTAGTACATGGCTTTCAAAAGGAATTATGACTTAAGGTATATATTAAATATATGTCTCATTAGAGAGGAATAGTATATTTCAGTTAACATCAGATTATTGAGTGATTTTTTTTAAACAGAACATCTAAAATTTTACACAAAATAGACATTTTTGGACATTTTAACTATGCAGGAATAAAAGTTGATAGGTTTCTGGTTACTAAAATCATTTCAAGTGTTTTCAGTGTGATATAGTACTCTCTGCAAACGTAGTAGGTATAAAAGAAATAAATACCAGAACTCTCCAAAAGCAAGACAGTAGATGGATTTATCTACACTGGTAGTTCTTCGGAGATAAAGAGCTTCTGGTGGAACTTAAAAAAATAAGACTATGAAGTCACTTTGAAATATTAGGTTATAGATGGTGATGAAAATTGCTTCCTCAAAAGTATTTCAATAGGGAAATGTTTAGGTCAATTAATAATCTTTAATCAAAAGTGATATCCATGGGTATGAGGGCTCCTACTTTTTGGTTCACTAACTAAGGAAAAAAACCCTACACTATCTGTTATAACTTGCAACTGGAAAAAGTGGGGCTGTAAGTAGAAAAAGTACCTCTTTTTGATGCAATGAAGATAGCACTGCAAATGAAAGAATAGATAGTAATGGGCTAAAGTGATTTGTGCTATTACATATTCTTTGAAACACTGTAAAGTTATTAAAACTTTATAGAGCTGAGATCTAAAATTCTCAGTCTGGTTTATGTTCATCTGATCATAGACTGAATATGTTCCATGTTGACAACAAGGAAATGAAGTATTTAGACAAAGTTATTGGGGTTTAGGTAACTTCATTTTCCTTTTCTGAAACTTGAAATCCAGGAAGCAAATATTACTAAGTAAGCTCCCAAAATAACCAAATTAAGTTGCTTTTCATAACATAAGATTCATACTTATTTCAGGAATAAACTTACTTGAAATAGACACAATAAAATATTACATGGAATAAAAATTAAAGGGATGAGAAGTTCATGCTTTGTTGATGGGTGCTGCACACCAGGGAAGAAATGGCTTCTGTGTTAAATAAATTACTGTGTACCAGCTACTTTATATATGTTACCTCTAATTCTTAAAACAATTCAAGGGTAAATATGAACACTTCTCTTTAGGTACCAAGGCTCAGAATGGTTAATTTGATTAAAATCACACGGCTAATAAATGGAGAGGTGCAACTTAAAAATCAGATGTGTTCTAAAACCATGTTTCCATCCTGCCACTCTGTTTTCCCTACCAATATAGAGCATGAGTGGATCTAATGGAGTCAGACTTGCCTGAGGATCAGTGATTTCACAGACAAAGAATGAAGTCTGGTATGAACATACCTGGTTGATGTTTCATGTTTTAGCAGTGATTCTTAAAGTATGGTTTCTGGAGCAGCAAAATCACCATCACCGGGAACTTGCTAGAAATGCTAAATTGTGGTCAGGTGGGGGACCAATCTATTGGTTAACAAATCCTCCAGGTGATTCTGATACAAGCTAAGGTTTGAAAACTACGGATATAAAGCAACAAGGTTCTTCATATTTCCCTAGAATGTAAACTATTTCTTCTTAAATTCATAGAGGCTTCTTAAAACTGTTTCCAGGACATTTAAAGAAGTCCCCGATTAACAGGTGCTTAAGTAACTACTGTTGGATGAATGGGTATTTTAGTAGTAAGATTTAATACTCCAAACTGCTCTAGATCTAGGGATTTTTTTTTTTTGGTTCAAAAAGTATTCAGCTTAAGTGAAACTCTACTAGAAAATGATTTAATGCAAATGGTGCAAAAAGGTGTGGAGATCAGTTGTACCTGAATTCCAGCATGGTAGTTTTATAGTTGAGGAGAGCTAAGTTATTAGCTACTGTATATCCCACATCCCACTGAGCTCAGACTTCCTCATGTTAAAAGGAGACAGCTGCAAGGTTATATGAATTGTCTGTGAAGGGCCCAGTGCCGAGCCCTTCCTGTTACAATTTTGCTAAATTTTTCTTCATGTTATGGCTCCTGTCCTATCTTTGGCTCTAGCCATATTTAAAACACCACCTACCCTCATCATGCTGTTTTATTCCATGCATTTTTTTACTAGTGTTCTCTTTACTCATAATTCTTCACCCATTTTCCACACCATCTCTCATTCTTTGATGTAATCCTTCTTAGGCATCACTACTTTTTCTAGAAAGTCTGATCTCTTCATTACACCTATTTCTCCATTGAAACTTATTTCTCCCAGCATTCCTCCTCTTAGTATTAATAAATTACAACTCTAGCTGTACAAACCAAAATTTTGCAATCATCCCTGACTCTTAATCAAGTCCTCCACCTTAACTCAAGCCACCATCTTCTCTAATCTTTAGTGTTGTATTAAATAATAGTCTCTTCATTGAGCTTCAAGCCTATACCCTTACCTTCCTTCAATCTGAACTTCGCAGCAGCAGCCAAAGTGATCCTGTTTAAAACTTGCCCATGCCTTCACAGCTTATTCATTTATTAACAAATACTCATTGCATACCTACTATGTGCCAGGCTCTGTAGCAGGCAATGAAAACAAAACAAAAATTCTTGCCCCATAGAGCTCACATTCTACTGGGAGGAAACATACAGTGTGTTATGAATGCTATGGAGAAAAAGTGGGTAGGAAATATATAAGCAATCACGGTGTTGGTGGTTTTAAAACAGGATAATGAGGGAAGGCCTCTCTGACAGGGTGACTTTTGAGCAGGGGCCTGAATAAAGGGAAAGAAGCCATTCAGACACGGAGGGAAGAATATACCAGGCATAGTAACAAGAGCAAAGGCTTTGAGGCATGGACCTGCATGGCACATTGAAGGAACAGATGGCAAGGAAATGAAGTCAGAAGTAAAAGATAAAATCCAAAGTCTATGTGATGGCCTACAACAGCAGTCCCCAACCTTTCTGGCACTAGGGGACCGGTTTCATGGAAGACAATTTTTCCATGCACTGGGGGCAGGGATTGTTTTGGGATGATTCAAGCGCATTACATTTTTTGTGCAAACCTCTCTGTTAATGATAATCTGTATTTGCAGCCGCTCCCCCTGCTAGCATCACTGCCTTAGCACCACCTCAGATCATCAGGCATTAGATTCTCATAAGGAGCGTGCAACCTAGATCCCTCCCATGCGCAGTCTACAGTAGGGTTCTTTTTTTTTCTTTTTTGAGACAGAGTCCCGCTCTGTTGCCCCAGGTAGTGCCATGGCATCAGCCTAGCTCACAGCAACCTCAAACTCCTGGGCTCAAGCAATCTTCCTGCCTCAGCCTCCCAAGTAGCTAGGACTGTAGGTGTGCACCACCATGCCTGCTTAATTTTTTTTTTTTTCTTTTCCTAATTTTAGTTGACTGGCTAATTTCTTCTATTTTTAGTAGAGACAGGGTCTTGCTCTTGCTGAGGCTGGTCTCAAACTCTCGACCTCAAGCAATCCTCTCACCTTGGCTTCCCAGAGTGCTAGGATTACGGGCCTGAGCCACCATGCCCAACCTACAGTAGGCACATGTGGCTGATGGTTACTGTATTGGACAGCACAAATAACATTTTCATCATCTCAGAAAGTACTTTGACAGGTTGTTCTATGTTAGTGGTACTCAATACTCAACTGGGGGTGATTTTGCCCTCCATGGGACATTTGGCAATGTCTGGTGGTATTTTTGTTTGCCACAACTGAGGGGAGCATGTGCTACTGGCTCCCAGAGGCTAGGGATATTGTTAAATAGTCTACAATGCACAGGATGACCCCCACAACAAAAAATCATCCTGCCCAAAATGTCAACAGTGCCATGACTGAGAAAGCAGATTTGAATCAGTCTTGACTGCAACTCTAACCACACTGGTCATAAACTCCTCAAGCTGCTCTAGTATCCTGGCCTCCTTCCTCAAAACCTCTATTGTTGCTTCTTCCTGTGGCTCGCTCACTTTCTTCTGAGCTTTTTTTCAAAGTTATTTATTTAGAGAAGCCTTTCCTTTCAACCTGTATAGAAGAGTGACATCCTCTCCATCCCCCTCTTCTTGATTGATTTTTCTCCATAGCAGTTCTTGGCAGAGCAAATAATAATAGTTTCTTATACGTTTATTGTCTGTTTACTCTCACTAGAATGCAAGCCCCAAGGAACTTGCATTTGTCCCCAGTACACAGAACAGTAACTGGCAAGTAGTTTAGGTGCTCAATAAATACATTTTTTAAAAACGAAGTAATGACTGAATGGAAGACAAGGTTGGGCATACCTTCCATGTAGTCCCACACCAGCACATATGAGCACTTATCTTGTCACCTCTTTACTTGCAACATTCCCAAAAGCTCCCTGAAGGAAAGTTGAGCACTCATTAATACTTAATGAAAAATGAAGACTTGGTATCTGTTGAGCAAATGATACCCCAAATAACATCCACTGGCAAATTAATTTAACCATATTTTTGAATGCCTTGTTTTAAAGACTATATTTACAGAATATTTTATGGAGGATATTTATGAGATTTTAAAAATGTTAAATTTGGGCCGGGCGCAGTGGCTCACACCTGTAATCCTAGCTCTCTGGGAGGCCGAGGCGGGCGGATTGTTTGAGCTCAGAAGTTCAAGACCAGCCCGAGCAAGAGCAAGACCCCGTCTCTACTAAATATAGAAAGAAATTAATCGGACAATTAAAAATATATAGAAAAAATTAGCCGGGCATGGTGGTGCATGCCTGTAGTCCCAGCTACTTGGGAGGCTGAGGAGGGGGATCACTTGAGCCCAGGAGTTTGAGGTTGCTGTGAGGTAGGCTGATGCCATGGCACTCTAGCCCGGGCAACACAGTGAGACTCTGTCTCAAAAAAAAAAAAAAAAAAAAAAAAGTTAAATTTGCTCACGGGGATCTGCAGATGTGTACATTTCAGCTACTAAATGGCAATATCTTAAATATTAACTAATCCAAAATATTAACTAAAAATAGGAGACAGAGGCAATGACAACGTGTTTAAGTCTGATTCCTCAGTCCAGCAGGGCATGGCTATTTTTTCTATTATAAATGTGATTTGGTCTCATACGAATAGTAATAATAGCAGCTAATATATATTGAGCTCTTACTAGGAGCCAGGCCCTGTTCTTCAACCCGCCCCTACAATCCACTGAGGTAGGTATCTTTACTAGATCCATTTCCAGATAGACCTAAGGGACAAAAAGGCTAAGGAGCTTGCTCACAGTCACAGTTAGTAAATGTTGGAGTAAAAGCCTGGCAATCTGGCTTCCAGAACCCCCAACCTTAAACTGCATGCGATACCGCCTCTCCCAAAGCCAATCTGGCGACAAGGGGAATGCAGGCAACATAGGATCCTAGCGTGTGTGAGAGGAAAGTCCCCGGAAGGCGGGCAGGCGTGGGACAGGATAGGTGGTTATCTTTGTTTTGATTTTTAATTTTTTATAGCACAATGTTAAAAAAAATCAAGTTATTTTAATTTACGTATTCAAAAAATATCAAACTACCGGCTCACCCAACTCAGACGAGGCCGCAGAGGAAATTCAAGAGCTCCCGGGGGCCGGGCCGGCGGGCGGGGAGGAGCCGCCTCCATTGGCCGGCCCCGCGGCATCACGGGAGCTGGCATTGAGCCCGGGACGCCTTCCGCTTTTCACGCACCTGCGCAACCTTCTAGGGAGCTCTTTTCGAGGAGGGACTTCTGAGCAGTTCACGGGTTCTCTTACTGTAACCAGCTCCCCTGTGGAAAGTCGATGTTCTCCAAGTAAACACACCGCATCTTACTAGAGGGGACATCCCGGAACCACAAGTCGGAGCACCGCGTTTCCTGATCGACCTCCTTGGCGATCACTTCCGCCCAGGGGTTGGAATACTCGAGGCCCTTCTACGGAGAACAACAAGAAAGGCACTTCCGGTGTCTGTTGCCAAGGCGCGGGCCCGGTGGGCCGTAGGGGCGACATTATTGGCATCGTCCTCCCCCCCCTTCCCGGGGGTCGAAATGTCGGGACTCAGCTCCCCAGAGATGGAGGGCTGTCGTAATCTGCTCGGCCTACTGGAAAACGACGAGATCATGGCCCTGTGCGACACCGTCACCAACCGCCTGGTGCACCCTGAGGACCGCCAAGGTAAGGGGAAACCCTTCAACTGGGGGACAGCCGAGTCCAGGTTGCGGGAGCGTGGGAGTGGCGAGGGTTCGAGGCCTAGCTCCGGGTTCGTCCCCGACCGCGCTTGAGCAGAATCCTCATACTCGGGAATCTTGGCCGCCGCCGTTGCTCCTTTGCTCCGGAACCAGGACGCAGAATTGGGCGGCCCGGCCCGAGAGGGTGGGGGTGGCGCTGACAATTGCATAGTTTTCAGGTTTTATACATTGAATGTTAATGGCAAGCGATTGTTGTTGGAGGATTCGGAGTGTGTCATTTTGTTGTTGTTTTTAAGTTTCCGGGGAGCCAGAATGTTTTCCATTTCCCCTGTCAACTGAAGAGTGTCAGCTGCTGCTCTGGTTTTTTTCTTCAAGCTTGCGGGGAGGAGGATATCATAAATACTTTATATCAGTCTCGTTGGTAAAAACAACTACTGTAATAACAAAGCAGATAGTTTGAATCCATGTCTTTTTGTAGCCAGAATTTTTCTAAGATAATTTTGTGTGCTAGAAATAAATTACTTTTATAGTCAAACAAATATTCTGGTAGATTTCAAGAGCTATTAGTATTAAGCCTGATTGTGACTAGTACATATAAAAATGTAAAGCGTTTGTTTCATTTTGTGTATCACGTAGCTAGTTTTATTTTAAATTTGCTGAATTTTACTTTAAAATGTGAACATTCGATTCCCATATTAGCAGATGATTTAAGTATCTTCAAAAGATTCTGCCTTTTAAAACTGTATTTCTGCTTTTAACTTGGATTTACATTTTTGCCATTGAAGAAAATCAGTCATTTGTAACTTTGAATCATGAACATTAAAAGAAAATTCGTAAGAACTTAGACTGAAAATAGTTTTATACTTGTGTAGTTCTTAAGCATTTATGTATTTAACATGGCAGTCACCTTCTTAGAATTATGGTGAGTGTGAATCTAAAATTATTATAGATAAAATGCTGGATTTCATTGATAGTGGATCTAAAAGAAAATGAGAGTAAAAAAATAAAAATTTTCCAGTACATAAAACGTTTAAATGATTTGAAGCTCGTTGCTCAGGAAAAAAAAAATAACCGATAGGCATATGAAAAATATTCAGTCTCTTTAAAAAACAATGAAATGAAAACCAAAAATGAGAGTTGTCTTTTCTATGTACCAGACTGGCAAAAAATTAAAAATACAAACTTTAAGTGCTGGTGACCAGGTGAAACAACTCTTTGACAACTCAATGAAGGAATGTAAGGTAGAACTACCACTTTGGAAAACAAGTTTGACATTATTTCCTAAAATGGAAGATTAGACACATACTCTAGATCAGAACTTCTCAACCCTGAATGTGCTTTTGAATCTCTTGGAGATCTCGTTACAATGCAGATTCTGGTTTATTAGTTTTGGGGTAGATCCAGAAATTCTGCATTTCTAACAAGCTCCCAGGTGAGGCTTATGTTGCTTGCTTCTTTGCACTTGGAATATAATTAATTATGATACAGTAATGAAAATGAATTAACTAGAGTTGCATATATCCACATAGATAAGTCTCAAAAACAGTAAATGAAAGGCTGATTACAGAAGACTGAATACTGTATATTGATGGATTAGATTGATAGAACATTTAAAATACACCAAACTAAATATATTGTTTAGGGATACATATTTATGCTATGCTACTATAAAGAAAAGCAAGGGAATCCTAAAGCAAAATTTAGGATATTAGCTACCCTGTGAAGTGGATGAAAAGCTAGAGGAGGAATAGCATTAGGGAGGGGTGAAATAAGGATCTCAAGAGTACGGACTAGAAATTTCTTATGTCTCAAGCTAGGAGGTCGCTATATAGGAGTTCATTTTATTGCTGTTGTATATACATTATACAAGTCAAAAATATTCTTTGGTTTGTGTTAAAATTTTCAAAAATTAAAAAAATACAAGTCCTTGTTCTGCCACTTTCTAGAAATATGATTATTGATACCTCATGTATCCTAGACTTTTATCTGTAGTATGAGATTGGGTTAAAATTCCTTGACATCCAAAATATTGTCATTTTACTTATTTTTGGAAGTCATACATGTATATAGGTCTGTTGGCTTTATTAGGAACAATTATTTTTCTGGCACGAATTTTTTCTTAAAACAATTCTTTAAGAGAAAATGCTAGAATTTCACTGTTGCTATGGGAAGTGAAAGGAAGGGAGAATTTTAGGTAAAAGAAGTTTAAAACATAAAGAAATTATTTTAAAAAATAACCTGACAACAACCCCTTTCCTCTTTAAAAAATGACAGCCATCTCATGTAAAAAGCAATAATGTTGTTATAAGAGTTTATAAATGTTATTCGGTAGAGTTTCTCCTGACTCTGGACAAATTTATAGGTGGCTCATGATTATCTGTTAATCTTTGCGATTTCCTTCTAGATGCCATTCATGCAATATTAGTGTACAGTCAAAGCGTAGAAGAACTTCTGAGGCGTAAAAAAGTCCACCGAGAAGTCATATTTAAGTACTTGGCAACACAGGGGGTTGTTATACCTCCAGCTACTGAAAAACACAATCTTATTCAGCATGCAAAAGATTACTGGCAAAAAAAGTCACAACTGAAATTGAAAGAAACACCAGAGCCAGTAACAAAGACAGAGGACATCCGACTCTTTCAACAGGTGAAGTAGATCTTATATTTTAAACCTTTTTTTTTAAAAAAAGAGATGGGGACTCTGTCACCCTGGCTGGAGTGCAGTGGTGTAATCCTAGGTCACTGCAGCCTGGAACTCCTGTACTCAAGCCATTCTCCTGCCTCGTGTGCACCACTACTATATCCTAGGCTTTGCCTGGTCTGAAACTCTATAAATAATCCTAGATCTGGGGGAACATGGTTAATAATATTCTATTTATATTTTATAATTTTAACTTTACTTCATATCCTTTGCATCCTAAGGGAAGAAAGACCAATGAAGCAACTAAAAAATATTTCTGACATTTAGTGATGCTTATATAATCTATTGATTAGTAAGGGAAAAAGTATTTGTCAATATCAATAATACTGATATTGATTTTCAATATCAAGTGAGTACCATTGGATTTTTAGAGTGTAAATTTCAAGGTTAATTTTAATTTGGATTCTAGTTCTCTGTAATTTTTTCCACTTTAAAAAAATTCTATTGTAAATCCTTTCTCATTTGTAAGACTTTTTTGAATTAAATTGCAAAAATTCCATGAAAGGAACGTAAGTATTTTTCCCATTTGATTTTTTTTTTTTTAACTAGAAAAAATCTTGTAGTAATTTCTCCAGCTGACATTGGCTATTTCTGTTTCTTTGTATATCCACTGTACATTTTAGATATCAAATGAATATTTAAATGTTTGAATGAATCTCTAGGTAATTTGCAGATTTTTAAACTACATACTATACTCTTTGAATTAATGAGCTTTTATAGTGAGAAAGCTTTGCTTTCACGTTAGTTAAGGATCTTCTAAGGGCTTTGTTAACATAGTGAAAAGAGCATTGACTTTTACACCTGTAAAAACAATGCCACAATCAAAAGAGAGTGCTTATATAAATCATCATTGACTGTTCATGCTGATATTTTAAGAGACTTTGTTAAGCCTTACTTTCTTAGCTGAATTTTCATCTAAGCTGGAAAACTCTTAAAATGATTTTTCTCCTTTTTGAAAAAAGATTTAACTGTGAATCATAGGTTCCGTGAGTTCACATGTGGTTCAATTCCCTGTGCTGTAACCAGCAGTATATTCAAACTTAGCTCTGAAACAGGCTAGATAGAAAAAGATATGAGAGACAAACCTTAGTTTTATTTTATATTTATTGTATTTATTTTAATCATCAGGCAAAAGAAGATAAAAAAGCTGAAAAAGTTGATTATCGTCGCCTAGGAGAAGAATTCTGTCACTGGTTCTTTGGACTTCTTAATTCTCAGAATCCTTTTCTGGGACCACCTCAAGATGAATGGGGGCCACAGCATTTCTGGCATGACGTCAAGCTTAGGTTTTATTACAACACCTCAGAACAAAATGTGATAGACTACCATGGAGCAGAAATCGTGAGCCTTCGTTTGCTATCATTAGTAAAAGAAGAATTTCTTTTTCTCAGCCCCAACCTTGATTCCCGTGGACTGAAATGTGCTTCTTCTCCCCATGGGCTGGTTATGGTTGGAGTTGCTGGGACTGTCCACCGAGGGAACACTTGTTTGGGTATTTTTGAACAAATTTTTGGACTCATCCGTTGCCCTTTTGTGGAGAATACTTGGAAAATCAAATTTATCAACCTGAGAATTGTTGGAGAGAATTCCCTTGCTCCTGGAACATTACTGAAACCAGCTATTACATTTGAACAAAGTGATTTAGAGGCCTTTTATAATGTAATCACTTTATGTGGCACCAATGAAGTACGACTTAATGTAAAGCAGGCATTGGATAGTGGAACTGGAGACCAAGCTTTATGTGGTGGAAATGAGGCATTGCTGAACAAAAGAGAAGTGAGTTTGCCTAAGTCTTTAAAACCTTGAGGACTATATGTCAACCTAAAAAAAAACCTTCTATACAGAAACTCTTCCAAATACTACATCAGTAGTGTCTAAGACTTAGACATCACTTAGACTCTAAGTGATTTCAGATATGAGGATTGACATATTTTAGTTGAAATACCTTTCTGGACTACAGACTGATACATTATGTGAAAATTTACCTTTCTCTACCTGAGTTGCAGCAAATGTTCTGAGAGCATAATGCAGTTCATCAAATAAATCCCACTTTAGATGTTATAGGTAACCATGTGCCTTAGAAACCCGGTAATATGTTTATTTTACTTAGTGAATATTCTGCTAATATCTGTACTGGTCACGTGGAAAAGGACTAATAGTGTTCAAGGCTTCCCCTCTTTAAGTTTTTCATTTACTTAAATCTGGATAATTGGATATTTTACAAACGCATCTCACTACAGCATTATTTTTAAAACAAATATTTTAGAGGTGTTTAAGTTCAGAAAATTTTAATGACATTCTTAGTGAAAAGTCCAATAATTTAGCAGATAAAAAAAATTACTGCCTCTTGAAATATTTGAAGAACATTTTTTAAAGCTATCTGCTGTAGTCCAAGATAAGTATCTTTTATAATCTACAGCATTTTCCAAACTGTTTTAGGCAATAATAAATGCTGTTCTCAAAACAGACCTTATTCTTACCTAGGCTTCAGCTAATAGACTTAAAGAGCATTTATTGTAATACCATATGAAGGAAATATACTGTTGAAATTTTAAAGGCATGCCCAGCTCCTAACTTTTAAATGAATTACTGTTCTTCCTCTTGATCGATCTTGACAAAGGTGTCCAAAAAAAATCCACAAGTTTAATGACGTAGGTATACATGTATACGTATGTATATATATGCCCCCACATCATAACTTTTTTCACCTCTAATTTGTGTCACTAAGTTTGAGTTACAAGGTTGAGTTGCCAGATTATTTACATAGTTGCCTTAAAGTTTAAATTCCTCATTACCTGGCAATTATTTGCTGATCCTGGATTTAGTTAGTAATTTTAATTTATAAAAGTACAATTTGGGGAAAAATTTAACTGGAAAATGTGATGATGTGTTTGTTGTATGTGTTAACTTTTTACATTTAAGTCTGCTCGTAATCATCTAGGGGAGACTGATATGCATTTTGGAAGCAGGAGGAAAAAACTCATCTTTGTTTTTTTAATGCCATGCTTCTTATGAGGAGTACAAGTTGATATGTCCTAAAATAAGAACTTAATAAAGGAGGGAAATCCCTTTTGTCTGCTGTAAGAATAGTGTATTGTTTAGATTTAATTTACAGTTGTATTACTCTTAGATGAAGTTTTAGACATTTAACCAAAATACAGCAAATTTTACTACTCTTAGTTACACTATCAGTGTAATATAATTAGGTATAAAGAAAATGGGCAGTTTCTAAAATAATTACCTCTTATAGTTTTATAAGGTACACAATCAGGTTACAAGTCCATCTTTACGCAACCTATAGCTCTGCTTGGGTTTTGAAAGCCAAGGTTTTTTTTTTTCCTTAAACTTGAAATAGCATTAAAAAAATGTAATAGATAATATACTAAGTAAAAGATAAAATTCAAAAGCATTCCTATCGTTTTCTTTGTGCTGTTGATGTCAAGTACTGCAGAACTACTATAGATGCCCAGAATGAGCAGGGATTGCCTCTAGATATCTTCAGTATTGGGTTTTTGAATTTGTATAAAGCTCAAATGAAGCTGCAATTTCTGCATATAGTTTCAATTAACCCTAAAGATTTGAAATCCTCTTGGTAGACTAAGCTTATTTCATGTGCATTTCTACATCTGGGCACGCTGTAGAGCCTAATGTTGGAATGAATGGGTGAATGAATGAGCAAAAAGAAGTTTACATACTATAAAAGAAGCTTTTCTACATCTAGATTTTATCTTTGGTTTTTCTCATCCGGGGTGGTTTTTTGGTCACGTAGTCTGAATTTCATACCTGAATACACAGAAACTTTTAGATCCCCAAAATAATTCAGATTGGGGAGGAGAACTATACTGACCTTAAAAACCCAGGGTCAGTGGAATATACCTGAGGGCTCTAGAAAATATTAGAGGGGAAATGTATGAAGAAACAATTATTTGGAGGAAGAAGACCTGGAGAAGTTGAAATCTGTTCATGAAGCTTGATTAGCGTTTTGAGAACAACCAAAGTTTAGTGCAAGGATTGAACTCTACTTTTATTACCAACCCAGTAGTCTGTTTATGTCAGGGAATGGCAGAGGAACAACCCAGCTTTAGGTTTCTATTGTCTCTCTTTTGCTTTTTTATACCCAACTGGTATTTGGAAAATCTGGAGTCAAGTAGTAAAGACAAATACAACACTCTATCCATAATTCATACTAATTGGGTGGTCAAACTAGGAGATCATCTGGAATTTTATTTGCTGTAGGCTAATTTGCCATAGCCTAATAACAGGGCATACATATTAAGTATCCTTTTTTGTTAAAATAAATCTTAAAGTAATAGTTACATTAGGATATTTTATTAGTATCTAGAATGCCAAATAACATATTACCTGTGTCTTATTAACTGAAAAACCAACTATAGGAAAACTTCTAATTTATTAAAGCAACTTGCAAATGGCAAACAAGATAACAGGTCAGGAAGTGTTCCTGGGTTTTCAGAAAGGTAACATTTTTGTGCTAAAGGAAGGCTACTTACCTAGTACCAGTAAGAAATTGTAATATCGCCAGAACAGAATTTAAGGAACAGTGGGGGGCGAGGTTGTTTTGTTTTTTAAACATTATCAGAAACATCATGTTTTAATAAATGTTTTAACTCTCACAGCTAAGTAGATAACAAAAATGAATGAAAACTACACTGGAACGTTTTTCTTAGGATTTCTGTTTTCACAAATTTAGATGCCCTTTTCTTCACTGCTTCTTGAATTGTGGAAGGTGGTTGTCAACCTTTTGAAAAATAAGATAAGAGCTATGTTCTTTCTCCCCAGAAAATATATGTTTACATATATTACAATTTTTGCATATTTCAGTGAGTTCATGGGCCTCCCTAAAGCACATCTATGAGTCCTATAGACAAACTCCATGTTAAAAAACCCTGCCATAATAGTTAAATTTCCCTGAGACTACTCTTCTACTGTATTAAAAAATAAAATTATTTTTATAAAATGTGGCATTGCATCCCTAAGCTAGAGTAAAACTTACGAATTTAAGCTAGACTAAATCTTATGAATGAAAGGACTTCTAGGAAATCTGTGATGGTTGTTACTTGTGAATTTTGTTTTTCAAAAGATGTTAGATATAAAGACAAAATGTACTGTACCAAAATCTGTCAATTGGAACGTAAAAATACTCAGAATTTTATTTTGACAAGATAAATTTAATGGAGAATAATGAACATGCATTGGAGAATGTGGTAAAAATGTGAAAAAAAATTTTAAAATAATCTCAAAACCTTTACAAAAACCTTGTCCTAAGAAGATGTTATTTATTAACTGTATATTGCTAATTCTGGTGAAATGTTAAAAATATGAACATTTCTTCTGCAGGAGTTTATGTATATGATCTTTTTATCTTATAACACTCCCATGTCTTCTCCACCTTCTAAAATCCTATTTATAACCTTTGTTATCTACCCAGTTTTGATGTAGATAACACAGCTGGGCAGTGTTAGGAAACAAGACTTTCTGCATCTAGGTTGTCTTCAAGTTTATTTGGCATATATTTATTGAGCTTCTACTATTTGTAAGTCACTGAATCAAGTGCAAGATAAAATAATGCATCAATAGGTTATTTACCTAAACTTTTGTTAAATTCAAATCTCAATCTCTGGGTTTAGATATTCTTAAGGGGAAAACATCTTTAGGCTCTTTGTAAAAGGATTCAGATAGATGCTTTTATATGATCAGAAAAAAATGTCTTTGAAATTTTAAATAGTCATATGGCTCCATATAGATTTTATCAATACAAAATAAAGGATATTTTGACAGGCCACTTTATTTAGAATTGGAAGGAAAGATATCCAAACTTTGTCAGAATGTGCTAAATGCTTTCAGCTATATTTTTTCTAGTCTGAATCTTCCCAGTAGTCTTTCTGTAAAGGGTTAATATTGAATTGAATATGATGTTTACTATGACATACAAAACCAGACTCCAGAACTTCTTGGGTTAATCATTGAAATCACTGGCCTAGAATTTGGTACCTCCTAAGTTCTATTCGCAGTACTTTTAATTCTCCTATTTTTTATTTGTTTTTAGAGAGGAAGTCTCCTGTCACCCAGCCTACCGCATGGGGCTTGTTATTTTGAGTGAATCATTTAGTGAGGCTCTTTGGTTAGCAGTTTTTTCTTGGTTAGTAGTTTTCATCTTCAGCTTGTAGACACCCTAAATCTCAAGTGTGAAATTAATTACATTTGAATTAATTTAAGGATTGAAGGGAAAAATCACCCATTGCCAATTACGTTACTTGGCTGATACAATGTTTTCTGAACAAAAAATAACTGCTTAAAGCCTTTTTCTTGAAACATTGAGTTTATAAGTTTGCATTAATCTTTTCCATCTCTCATCTTTTACTGTACTAATTGTTAGTATTACACTTAATTGTTCTCAATTGTTACATGTAACTTACTTTTGCTTCCCTAAATTGTAAATCTCTAGAATTGGTGATTCTTACTTGGGGGTTCTTCTTTTTCCCAATGCCCTGCACAGGATAAAATTAGCTAAATTTGGGCTGTTTATTATATGCCAGTTGCTTTTCTATATTTGTTGCATGTACTAACTCCTTTGATCCTGCAGACAGCTAAATGAAGTAGATACCATTATCTCTCTTTCACCTGAAAACAGATTTGAGTAACTTTCCAAGCTGTCAGTGCTGATGGTAGAGCCTAGATTTAGACCCAGACATTCAAACTCAAGAGCCATGTGATAACTAACTACATTATATTTATTGCCTCATATATCGTAGGTTTTTTTTTTTTTTATTCCAGGGTATTGTGAGGGTACAAACATTATGGTTAC